AATCACTGACGCACCGTCGTCGACCATGAGTCTCAGGGCTGGATCGGGTCGCTTCCCATCAACCAGTTTTCTTATTCACGAAAGCCAACTGGCGCTTCACCACAATCCACCGTGAAAAAGAAGATCGAGAACGGTTTGAAATGTTGTAGTTTAAAACAGAGAAAGAGCCTCCCCGCCTATCCATACATTAAATTCATTTTTTTCCTTCTCAACTTGAAGTCGACCACCACAAGAGCGACTCACTGTCAGCCAAGGCCGTCACTTAAGTTACAGTCGACCCAAGTCTGATCCGCGTGCCTCTGCTAGCCAAGGCATGCCGTGTGGATTCATCAACACCGTTGATAGTTACGTTGCTCGTAATCTAAATAAACTCATTTTGTGTTTTAAAATAACACCACGTATTAACAATAGATAGAATTCTGTAACTCAGAGGCACAAAAGCGTTTTTAATGGCAAGCTGGCACGAAAGTATCCGGACAAATTAACCTAGATATACTGTAGATAGGGCATACTATCAGGTACAATGCGAGGCTGATGATCCATACCAAAATTTATCCGACCGGAGGACCTCTCCGACCGGTACCAAGAAAATGGTACACACTGCATAAAATTGTGCAGCGTGTCAAAACTTTTGACTGACAAACACGGTAGTTGTTGAGTGATTAGGGGAGATGTGAAAAGATGCGAAGGTCAGAAAGTCTGTTTTAAGCCTAGTCTATAGGCGCAAGGAAATCGTCTGAAACGCTCTGTGGGCTGAGAAAATCTAGCAAAGGTAAAAACGATCAAATTGGGCCGGAGCCATGTGCTCTCGGCAAGGTAAATTGACAAATGAGTCCATGATTTTCGTGGCGGGGTCCACTATTAAGAGGATCCACCCGTAGCGACTTGGAAATAACCATCCTCTTTTGAAACGCGACCAACAACAACTGAGAAGTGGCATGAGCTTGAAGTCAGGGTTGTTGGTGCCGGCAAAGCACGTGGACCTGATCTTCGGGGTCATTGTATCGTTGTCGTGGTGCTCGCGAATGACGGGACCATGCATGATGCACTCCCACTCGTCAGTTGCTCCGTAGATCGCTTTGTCGAGTGTCTGCTGCTGTTTGAACTCAAACGTCATGCAAGTTAAGGCATCTGACCGATGTTCTTTGCACCTTGAAAGTAATGAAAACAGTGACGATACTCGTAGAGTTGCATCTTTCATCGCTTTTTTGGTTGGGTAAATCAGGTTATTGTGGTCAGTGTGGACTACCTCGAACCCGAGTAGTATTGTTCAAATAATGCCGTGCGAGCTCGGTGCAGCTCTGGATTTACATATAAGTACATGACATGTACCAGAAACTTTAAATTATTATTTTTAATTTTTATCTATACC